CTCGTCTGCCCGTCCCGCGGCGCGCGGTATTTATCCGCGGCGGGCAGAGCCTCGCGGCCCACGTGACCCGCTCCCCACGCGACTTTCTGCTCAGTATTGCATTAGCCGCCTCCTCTCTTCCTCTAGCGTCCCATTGAGAGTTTCCGCGACGGTAACTCGTCGGCACCTGTAACATCTGGACCCAATTGGGTTTGAAATGACGCAGTTCTTGGGAAATCGTGGGCTCGCCCTCCAATCCCGAGCAGCCAGTCTCCGGCTGCACGCCGGCCGGCCGCGCGCCTTCCGAACAGACTTCCAGGACACCCGAGATTACTCATCAGACCTGGACAGTGACTCAGTCCTCCGACTTTGACAACTTGTCCGTCCCCCTCCCAGCCGTCAGGATACACGGTGTTTTAAAGGATGACCGAACAACCACAGGTATCTTAATACCTTGACCTTCGGAAATCAGTCTAAGTCAGGAACACCTCATTTGCGAGAAAAGCAGCATTTTAAATTTCCGGTTGCCATCTGCAGTGCCACATGGGTTTCCGAGGGCGCCTTTCTGAAGCCCGAGCATCCCTGCCCTAAGTCAGCTAGCGGACTGGCAGTTTCAGCATTGCAAACGGATATCCAGTCCCATAATATTGCAGACGGTGGGACCAGATTTATTTTATAGCTTTGGAGAAAGCTTTTAAACACGGTTTTTCACAAAGAACATTTCTTATCTGCTATTCTGGTATATCCTTTCCCCCAAGTGGTCAGTCATTTCTCCCCTTCCACTTCCAGGGCTCAGGGTGGGAAGTGGACCTTGTTGCTTTGCTATCCTTTCTCCCGACATGTAGATTAGGATCCCAGCAAGATGATGCACATGGTCCTTACAGGCTTTCACAAATCATTCATAGATTGCCCTGGCATATGTGAACGTAAACCCAGGAAGGATGCTAACCCGCCCAGGCAGCCATGCAGAGCATGAAACCGATAGACGGGTAACAGGACAGAAAACAGCTTCTCAGGGGCCCCGTTTGTTTCGTAGACACCTTTCTTTCAGCCCGAATGGACAAAATGATGTCATTTCTTGAGTGTTGTTCTTTTCTCCCACTCTATATTTGAAATAAATATATACTTTTATAATCTCTGTATAAATTATATTTTTATATTATGTTTTCAGCTAATCATGCTATTTTCCCAGTTAATTCTGATTTTTTTAATTATAGTGCAGAAAGGAAATGCTTTTTTTTGGAAGGTGGAGTAAATCAGTGATTTCCCCCCCTAATGCTTGCTATTCTTTTGTAAGTAACCTTGCATTTTGAAATGTTCATTCATCTCTCTCCTCTTTTTTGCCTGGCGTGGCAGGGTTAGGCATTTATGATTCTGTTTTTAAAACATTGTATATAGAAAACCGCAAACATCCTCAAAAGAGAAGGACCTAGCCAGTTGAAACAGCTTCTAAGTTTCACTTACCAGTGTCTAGTTGATTCTGAATCATGTCCACCAACTCCACCTAACCCCCCTCCACTCTATTTTGGAAGAGATCTTAGACATTACATCATTTGATCTGTAAATATTTCATGTCTTTTACAAGGTAAGACATTATTTTTAAAAAGGAAAACTTCCATGCCACTATCCTAAGATAATGTAGAGTAATTTCTTATTACTGTACATAGGTGCCATGAAGGCCATGCAGAGTCATAGCATTCCCATGTACTACAATGTTTAAGTACTCCATATCCTGGTGGAGTAGTGTTTATGCATTGTGCTGCTAACCACAAGGTCAGCAGTTCGAATCCACCAGCTGGTCCACAGGAAACAGATGAGGCTTTCTACTCCTATAATGAATTAAAGTCTCAGAAACCCACAAGAGCTGTTAAGTGCCCTGCACTATAAGGTCTCTAGGTGTCAGAATCAACTTGGTTGCAGGGAGTCTGGTTTTGAGTTTGATACTAATCAGAAAGTCAGTGGTTTAAACTCACCCAACCACTCAGAAGGAGAAAGACTTGCCAACCTACTCTCTTCAAGTTTACAACCTAGAGTGGGCAGGTCTACTCTGTCACACGGGGCCGCTGGAAGTTGAAGATACACTGGTGACACTCAACCACCACAACAGCAATCTATCGTTTTTCCCTTCCTTTTTCTGTCTCTGTGTTTTGATGACACAGGCCATCGGCCAGTAGAATGTTTCACACTTGAGAGTTGGTTGATGGCTTTGCCATGGTCTCTTTGATATATCCTTCTGCCACCACTAGTTCCAGGCCATCGGTTGAGACATCCTTAGAATATTGATCAGCGTTAGGAACATGCTGATTGTGCCGCCCTTTGAGATGTTAGCCGCCACTGATGATAATTTTCTGGCTCCGTTCATTCATTGTTGTGCACCATCAACTCTTTTCAAATCACAGCCACCCCTATGTCATACTCAACCTGTGGGTCGTGACCCCTTTGGCGGTCAAACAACCGTTTCATAGGGGTCGCCTGATCCATAACAGTAGCAAAATTACAGTTATGAGTAGCAACAAAAATAATGTTATGGTTGGTGGGGGGCAAGGGGTGGGGTGGTCACCGCAACATGAGGACCTGTATGTGTTAAAGGGTCGTGGCATGAGGAAGGTCAAGAACCACTGTACTAGATGGTTTCAAAGGGTTTCCAAGGCTATAAATCTATATCCTAGGTGCTCAATTTTATTTGACTTACTGCCCTTTTTCAGAAAAACAAAATTACACAGTGGCCCCCTGGCAATTAAAAGCTTTCATCCTAGAGTCCATAATTCAGAATAAATTATAGGTATCTGCCTTTTCAGTTCCCTAAATCATTCCAGTTGCCAACTCGAGGGGACAATATTTCCCTTTGGGAAGCACTGCTCTATAGAGAGACAGAGGAGCCTTGGTTGCAGGTCCACAGGAGAAAGACTGGGCTTTCTACTCTGTCAACAGCGAGTCCCAGAACCCACAGGGGGCCTGTGT